GGGGGGGGGGGGGGGGAGGGTGTCGGGTGTCGGATAGGTGTGCGGGAATTCGCGCCGTTGGGGCATCTGATACAGCAGCGGTAGTTATTTGGCCCTTCAATGCGGGATCCACCGGACTACACTGCCCTGTTTGCTCCGTTACTCCCATGCCCTGGTGCGTAGTGCTTGGTGCTGGTACGTTGATTTTTTTCTGTGGGTGGGTGTGGGAAGCGTCCTCCTTTATTTTTGTTTTTGGTTTATTTTGATCGGTTTCCGAGGGCTCTTGTCTCGAACGGTCGGTGCGATACCTGTTCTTTTCTTTCTATTATTATTTTTTTGTACCCTATTTTTGTTTTGTTTCCCCGCGGCGTCGTATATGCCGGGTTGTGAGACCACGGGCTCCCCATTTTTTGTGGTTTGTAGACTATAGAGCTAATGCGAGAAACAACAACAACAACTGCTACTAGACTACTTCTAGCCTGCAGATCAGATGCATCAGTGTATAGACTTACATAATCTCGAAAGAAGTCCAGTCCCCAGCCGGTTTTCCTTCACTTACTGAAAAGACTCCACCACATCCCCTTCGAATGTGTGTAGTCTAGACCCGTTCGAAGTCTTTCTGTGTGTGTCGTATTTTTTTCTGATGATAACGGCGTCCACGCGTTTGCGAAAAACAAACAGCAGTCTCTTGCTGTTGGCAACACGTGAATGGGGCGCAAAATACAAAATACATGCGTCAGACATCAATCGACAGACTACACCATGGGTGGAGATACGGGTTGATGCGCCACACACGAATTAAATAGCACGGCAGCAGTTAGTGTTGTGCAACATGTGACGCAAAGGACGCGGATTGGCTTGGATGCAGACAGGGTGTTTCACTTCAGGACATAGTCTAGTACAAACCGCAGGTTTACACACGACCGCAGGAGAGGGTTCAACCCCCCCCTCCTATGTGACCCCGGTTGGGTTGTCTAGCTGGTAGAAGTGGAGGATGGGGGTCAGAGGGGCAGACGACAGAGTCAAATGATGGGAGAAAAACAACAAAAACATCAAACAACACGCTCACCTGTTAAAATCTCCGAACACCAGGCGGCGTTTGACGGCGTTGCCGGCAGTGTCTGCGTCAGCATCCACTTGGCCAGCAAGCATGCTCTCCTGTCTGTGGCTTGGGCAGCTGGAGTTCGGTAGATTCTCACCAGCAGCACTCCGTTGTCTATGCATCATGTCTAAAATGTTACAGCAGTAGCCCAAGCGAGACATATCCACGACGGATGGACTTGAATATTTTGACTGCAGTCGCCATCGGAGTCGAGCTTTGGTTGAGCTTCCTGTACTTCTTGTTTGGTGGGCAGCACTCGAGCAAATTCAACAGCAGTGTAGCCTACACACACACGCTGACCGCCCGACATATACCGAAGAGAGGCGAAAGGAAAAAAAAGGGAGACAAGTTGTTAGTACTCGATCTCCGGCTGCAGCAGGAAATACCCCTACCTGCACATACATACAGCACAGAAAATGTATATCTAGTCTTCTAGTACTATTAGAAGACTATAATAGACTAGTTGTTAGTGCTGTCGCGCCACTGCTGCTGTTGAAGCATGTAGTTATATACCTCGTAGAACTGCTGTAGTCCACACCTGGAAGCGACAAACCGAAAAACCGTAGTGAAACCTGTTCCGCTCACGAGGGTGGTGAACACACAGCAGCCGACACGAGTAGGGCAGCCGAGGCAGCACTTGTGGCGAACTATGTACCCGGCTGATGTTGTTGCACTCTGTTTCCCTCCCTGCTGTATGCTATACTCCGTTGTATAGTCTATGTCCTTTGTATGTATTGTGCCTTCAGCCTCTGTGCTATGTTTCTTTTCTTTCATGTGCCTACTCCGCTGCGTTGGGTACCTTGATCCGCCTTTGCTGTTGCTTTTGTTTTCTGTACATCTGGTTGTCTGCCAGCCTGCCGCCTCTTTGTCCTGTTTGCTCCGTTACTCCCATGCCCTGGTGCGTAGTGCCTGGTACTGGTACGTTACCCTTTGATTTTTTCATTAGACTAGTCTACGGAGTTTGCGAACATCGGAATTCGATTTGATTTCGGTCTTTTTTATCCACCCGAGCGCCTAAGACCGCTGGATCTTTAGGAATTTGATGTGTCGCTTTCTTTTTTTTTTCCCATAATATGACACAACGAGTCCATCTCCACCATAGATAAGAGTCCGAGACAGGCTAACAATGGAATCATAGCGTCAGAAAAAACTACCTGTATGTCTACGATTTCCCAGACAGTGTACCATCTCCCTTGCGGATAACAGGCTCAACAAGTCAGTTTCGTAGCTGTCTTGTGTGTCTCATATATGTTATGTTGGGAAGGTGCAGACGAAGGTTTTTGGTACTGTTGGTTAGTCGGGTGTTTTGTGTGTCGCACCCTGTTAGTTGTAGGACATGCAATCTCCATCAGTTTACAAACGTATTTTCAGTTTGGTATGCAAAAAAAAAGAGGAATATATAAATTGAAGAGGAGATATTTTCACGATGTAAGTGACAGTAGGAATAAGTCCTACATATGTTGTTGTACTTCGTATTGGTTTCATATTCATGTAGAGTATGAGACATAAAGTGAAAGTTTTCTGAGGTACATCTGCAATTGTCGGAAGGCAAAAAAAATATATATATGTATGACACGGCGAGTCCATCTTCATCATAGAAAAGAGTCATCAGAGACAGATTAACAATGGAATCATAGCGTCAGAGAAAACTACCTCTATGTCTACGGTTTCCTAGACAGCATATAGGGACATCTCTCCTGCGGGTGACAGGCTCAATAAAAATCAGTTTGTTAGCTGTCTTGTGTGTCTCAGATATATACTACCTCTGTCCGAGAATATAAGCAAGGTTTGGTCGTAAGGCAAAATACACCGCGAAAGCGAGCTGTTCAGTGGCCGTGAGTTCGATCCTGGGTTCAAACACCTTTTTTTTTCGGAAAAACGCTTTTTTTTTTTTTTTTTTTTACGCCTTCCCTTCATTTTGGCCCCTCGAAGTTGCTGATTTTTGCCACTCTGGAACTTTGGTCCCGGTCAGCACCAAAGAACTATCGAAGATACTTCGCAACGTGATTGTACAGGTTGTTCAAGTACCCAAAAATACAAAGAAAAAAAAACGAGGAAAAAAGCACTATTCATTGCCGCAAACGAGAGAAAAAATGGGACCCCTTTTTCCCTACTGAGCGCTATGGCAGGGAAATCAATGTTTCTCCGGGGAGGGGATGAAACCTTATCATCCCCTCTTATGTTGGTTTTTTCTTGGCCGCTTATCATATCCGAGCTTGACGCAAAAAAATAGGAAGGAAACGGTGTCCAAAACACCTTGAAACACCTTCATCGAGAAAGCTTGCTTATATTCCCGGATTTCCAAACCTTGCTTATATTCTCGGACAGAGGTAGTATATTATGTTGTGTAATTTCATGTCGTCAAATGTGCGAAGGGCACGGGAGAAGATTTTCTCATTATTGCATCCTGATGACGTGGTCGCCGATAGAGGCGTGTGGTTGACGGGGTTTCATCACCGACATGTGGGTGTGTGTTAAGTGCAGTGGGTATGTTCACCTCTCTCGTCCGTGTGTAGGCAGGAGGTGTGGTTACCTCTCCTATTTGTGGGCAGCGCGGACCATAAGTCTAGACAGAGTTTTGCGCACCGAAATATGCGTGCGACAGCTTTAACCTAACCACTTCGTTCGGTGGAAAGCGGATTTCTGTTCGACACGGTGTCGGGAGTGCCGAGGGGGGAGGGCTTGGCCCTTGTCGTTGCAGGTGGCAAGGAAGTAGGAACAGGGGGTGGCAGTGTCGGGGGTCTGGGGGAACATGGGCTTGAGTGGGGGGTGCCTGAGAAAGAGCAAGACGGCGGATGTTTCTCTCTTGGTGTGACCGGTGGCAGTATCGATCAGCAATGACCCACAGACTTTTGCGCGCCCGAATATGCGTGCGACAGCTTTAACCTAACCACTTCGTTCGGTGGAAAGCGGATTTCTGTTCGACACGGTGTCGGGAGTGCCGAGGGGGGAGGGCTTGGCCCTTGTGGTTGCAGGTGGCAAGGAAGTAGGAACAAGGGGTGGCGGTGTCGGGGGTCTAGGGGAACATGGGCTTGAGTGGGGGGTGCCTGAGAAAGAGCAAGACGGCGGATGTTTCTCTCTTGGTGTGACCGGTGGCAGTATCAATCAGCAATGCCGCACAGATTTTGCGCGCCGAATATGCGTGCGACAGCTTTGACCTAACCACTTCGGTGGAAAGCGGATTTCTGTTCGATACGGTGTCAGGGGTACCAGGGAAGACGGGGCCGAGTTTTGTTTGATTTCGGGTGGATGAGGTTGGGGTTTTGTTTGTTTTTCTCCATCTAAGGTTCGTGCCTAGAGTTAAGTGTTTCAACCAAAGTTTTGTTGACTTAGAGGCAAACATTCCTAGCTACTGGGCATCGAGTTAATTTGGCTTGGCATGACGGCCTGTACGACTTTTTATGTGTGTCTGCATTTATCTGCAATGGTCGGAGGGCAAACAAAACATCAATAATAATAATAATAATAGACAGAGTTTATCATTTCATGCATGCTACATCATTTTCTTCTTTCTTTTTTTGCCCTTCCGACAATTGCAGATGTACCTCAGAAAACTTTCACGTAATGTCTCATACTCTACATGGATAATAAGACATCATTTGTATTTGACAAGGGAGGAATGAGAGGTTGTGCGTATGGGTACGGGGGTACTCTCTGTGTCCGTGTTGTTCCCAGATCCTGTCGCGTCAAGTGGCAGCATGTGTCATGGACAGGTAGATGTGGAAGGACGGCGACAGGTGAACAGCAGCAGTAGCATGTTATGCATGGTGGCATGTTGGGCTTGTACAGAGACGCAGTCCATCTTCGACCAACACAAAGGAGNGCAGCATGTGTCATGGACAGGTAGATGTGGAAGGACGGCGACAGGTGAACAGCAGCAGTAGCATGTTATGCATGGTGGCATGTTGGGCTTGTACAGAGACGCAGTCCATCTTCGACCAACACAAAGGAGTTGTTCGTACCTGTCGGAGTTTTGGAGGGCCCAAGTCAGTCGCAAGCAGCAGTAGGAAGGAGCGAACGAGCGCAGTGCTTCCCTACAACTTTAGAACCCGTCCTCCTCAAATCCTAACCGAGATGATTACGTATCGCACAACGGCTGGATCAGAATTGCCGGCTAGCTCCGAGAACCAGGAGTGGTGGGAGAGTAGCTCAGACGAATGGCTGCGTGTACGCTCCTTCATGTGCATACTTGGCTGTCTCTTTGAAGTGCATACGTGGCTGACTCTTTGAAAGGTAGAATTCTGGTTCGGCGTCATTTGGCGGCATTTCGGCATTTCCAGTATTTGCCATTGTCACCTGGATGCATGGGAATTTTGGCGAGGAAGTCGGTCATGAGTTTCTCACTCTACTTGCAAGGGACACGTTTCATTTTCAGTGTTCCTCCTTGCGGTTTCGGTGGTCAAATATGCGGTTGCCCACACATCTTTGCATCGCTACGTACTATAGTGTGCCTTATTTTTCATCAGTTTACATCGTGACATGGTAGGCACATTGTTTTCGTCGACAGGTTAGATGTACACGTTAGAATGTGTAATGTTGGCGTTGAATTCCGCGTTGTTGTTGTTGCATCAATTATTGTATTGGTTTAATATTCATGTAGAGTATGAGACATTGAGTGAAAGTTTTCTGAGGTACATCTGTAATTGCCGGAAGGCAGAAAATAAAAAAATAAAAAACATCAACCATGTCGCTAATTTCGTTCTGAACATACATAGTTGACAGGTTAGATGTACACGGTAGAATGTGTAATGTTGGCGTTGAATTCCGCGTTGTTGTTGTTGCATCAATTATTTCATTGACCATGTTGCAAATTTCGTTCTATCATACATGATATTTACTTTCACATTCCATTTTCACAGGTTGGCCATCTCCCATCCGATGTTAAGACCATTTATTATCTCTCCACCACGAAGATATTTTCATCTATCTATACGCTTCCAGATACCCGTCTCAACTCTAAGCCAGTACGAATTTCTGACTGTGGGTACATGTACGTTCATAACGTTCATAGTAACCGGCGATGTACGACAAAACGTAAACGAGAAATTATGCAAAGTGTTACGAATAAGTCTAGAAGCAAGAATAGAAGCGCGCAAGCATGTCGTCCACAAGTCTGGCCGTTGATGCCTGAAAAAATCAAAGATCAGTACATCTTACGGCAAATCGGCACATTTGACAATGTAAACTTGACATTTTACAACTGGTGGACAATAATGTCTCCCGGTGGGGGAATGCCGGATATTGCTGCATGCAACGTAGCCATATGTTGGCGCTTATTATACATGCCAATATGCGTCTTACCCGGAATATCCTGCCCAATTTGTATATCCAGAAAATGTGCAGACTCCCCACACTGTTCTCGAGTATTACGAACCGGGTGTTCTATCTCGTTGAATGAAGAGGTTAGTATGGTGTAGCTCGTTAAAATTGTGTGTGTCTCGTGCGGAGTTGGTATTATTTGGGCATGGCAGTAAGTTATCACATGAGGATATTCCTTGTCGGACACCGACGAAGGTTGTCAATATATGCATAAGAGCACAAATAATATCAAGTAACGAAATTAGTACTACCAAAAGATCACCCTGGTGGGTCAGACCTCAAGAAGAAGTCATTAGCCTTGTGGGGGCAAACCACCAAACTTGATCGACGTGTACTAACGTAGCCTTTTTGATTCCTGGTGCCAGGAAAAATATCGTCCCCAGACAGCGAGCCACCCGAGCGAGGGTAGCGCATCACCCAGGTCCGTTCAGCACCGCTAGCATGCCACCGGTTTTCAGGGGCATCTGGGCTACCACGCGGGGCCGACTCCACATGTTCTCATTTTTTATTTTTCTTAATATGACACAACGAGTCCATCTCTATCATAGATAAGAGTCCGAGACAGATTAACAATGGAATCATAGCGTCAGAGAAAATAGCAGAAAAAAAAAAATGGAATCATAGCTTTTTTTTTTTTTACGAAATGCACGAATTGCCGTCAAAGACCGACCGCAGAAAAGATCAAATTCCATCTTGCTCGCATCTATCTTTTTGGGAACAGTTTCTGGTTGGCCTATACTCCCCGAGGTACTCCCGACGTTGTCCAAACGCATGCCGCACCAGCCCGTGAGGCTAGCTATGCACCCACACCTCGGCCGTGATACACACTACCATGGCGAGCCAGCTACAGTACCGCAAGACAGTTAGACAGTCGTCACTGCACGCCAGACCCGGTGCAATGCATGCTGCCGATATGGTGCATTTGCGCCATTTGAACCGCAGCATACCGTTCTAGACTACATGCTCTTGAGTGACAGACCAAGTCGGCGTGACGAGGATGACGGCGATGCTGCGAGCGGCACAGATTTTACGAGTGCTACACAGGCGGAGGCGGAGGTGATGGAGATAGGGATGCTTCAAGCGGCGTGGGAGCGTGAGGAGCTGCTGCGTGTGCGTCCTGTCGACCGATCTTGTGGGGGGCTTTCCTGGACACCAGCCTGGTATATAAACCGCGGGGCAGCGGTATTAGGAGGAGGAGGTCCTTGGCCTTCCTGCTGTATGTTCACCGAAACTCTGGCGAGGTGAGCGGCCCTCGCCGGAGGACTCGTGTTGCCATGACCACCTGGCATCTGAACCGGGCCACCCTTCTCATGAGAACGTTGACCTCCATCGTTCTCCATGATTGTTTAGCAGCGGTTGTGAGTGTAATGTGGGGGTAGCCTTGGGGTGGGGGTGGAGGCGGAAGGTCTGATGTAGGTTGGTTGTGCCGAGCGGTACCAAGTCTGCTGCCGAAAAGGGGGCTCCGCCGTAGTAAAATATTGCGTTCCTGGTAATTTCTGCGTGATCAAGACCACAAACATTCCACTCGCATCTCCGCAACCTGTTTTCGAAGAGATATCAAAAGTATTTTATTGACAGCCCGACACTAACATTAAGTGAATTCTGAGCTACCCCTCCGAAATAAATGTTCACGACTGGGAGAAAATCAGGGTTTTAGACGGAAAACGGAATATCTCGCGAACCAGATTTAAATTGAAATTCGGAAGAAAAATACCCCTGGGGAATGTCGAGAGGAATCGATTGCCGTGGACTTTTTCGATTTCTGTGGTTGAATACAGGTGCAAAAAAGCGAACAAAATGCCCTCTGAATTCCGGTTTTTGGCCGCTAACTTTTTGGTTTTCACTCAATCAATTCAAAATCGGAAACGTTTTACCCCTGGGGAATTTCGACAGCTGTCCAAATCCGGTCTTACAATCGTCGTCTTAATTAAACACACCCCAGCAAAAAGCGAACAAGATATTTCGGTTATTCCTAAATAAAAGACGGACGAAAAAACAAAACTAAAAATAGCTTTCCACAGGGACCTGCGCGTGGAGACAGCGCGTTTGCCGGTACTGTTGTTTTCGGAACAACTACCTGTGTTGTTGTTGTTGTTGTTGTTGTCTTCACATTAAGGGTACCCAGACAAGGGATTTTGACGCTGGCTCCTTTCTCATACTTTATAACAGTACAAAGAAAGAAAACAACCTTCCCGCCGGAGGAACCTGGTCCGTTGTGCTAGTATCAGTAGAGGATATCATCAAGAGGCGTCGTGCGTGCTGGCACGTTCAGGTATACTACTGGGGCTGAAATATCGAAGGTCGCAGCAGCCTCTGAAAACGGTCCGAAATCTGCGCCGGAACCAAGCGGAACCCAACACTTGTCACAGCGGTGCTCACCACCACGGACCGCAAACCCCTCAACTGCGGGTTGTCAGCAGTAGCTGGTGGCATCAGCTACTGCTGTAAACCTGCAGTTCAGAAGATTGGGTTCAGTGGCGGCGAGCACAAGCAGTACAAGACACTCGGTGTGGATCTAACTTGCGGAGATTTGCGGAGATTGTGGGCCACTACAACGACACTCGATACCACCACCACAGAAGAAGTTTTGAGCGCGCCAACAC